GTGTGTGTGTGTGTCCCCACCGTGGGCCGTGTGTGTGTGTCCCCACTGTGGGCCGTGTGTGTGTGTGTGTGTCCCCGCCGTGGGCCGTGTGTGTGTGTGTCCCCACTGTGGGCCGTGTGTGTGTGTGTCCCCGCCGTGGGCCGTGTGTGTGTATGTGTGTGTGTCCCCACCGTGGGCTGTGTTTGCGTGTGTGTGTCCCTGCTGTGGGCTCTGTGTGTGTGTGTGTGTGTCCCCACTGTGGGCCGTGTGTATGCCCCCCCAGCTGTGGCCATGTGTGAGGAGGTCTCATGCCTTGTCTACAGCTCAGGAAGCTGAGGCCCCTTCTTTGCCTGAGGAGGTGATCCAAGGGCCTCGGACGTCTTGGGGGCTCCAAGAGCCCTTGTCTCCACAACGTGCCATTGGCCTGTGTCCATCTCTGCCACAGTCACCCGGTCCTGCCGGTACTGTCCTTGCACGGACGTTCCACCAGCCTCCCCAGATTTCCCGGCTCCCCATTGCTGGTCCGAGTGAATGCTCAGAAAACACTTCACCCTTTCCCTCTCCCTCAACAGCCTTCCATGGCTCCCTTATGTTCTACCATTTTTTTTCAATTGACGACAAAGATGGCTGAGGTTGGGAGGGATGTTAACTGGCTTACAAAGCACGGGGTGAGTGGGGGTGGCACTGGGTCCCCAGGGCCCCCTGGATGTGAGGACCCTGGGCACGGGGTGGGGTGGATGGCAGGGGCTGCAGTTCCCCGCTCAACCTGAGTGCCCCGTGGGGAGGAGGCGGAGGGGTGGCCGGGGGCTCTCCGTGGGATGGGAGGGTGCCAACCCTGCTGACTTCCGGCAGGCACACACGTGGCGTCTGGCCCAGCGGCAACGCATTCAGGCTGAAGCCACCGGTTGCCATCAAGTGGATTCCGAGTTCCAGCAGCCCCGGAGAGGAGAGCTGCCCCGCAGGGTTCCGGGCTGTGTGTCTTTATGGAAGCAGACGGCCTCACCTGTTTGCCATGGCGATCTGGCAGAGGGGCGTAGGAAAGCTGAGGGTAGACTGGACTTCCTCGGCCTCCTGACGCAACTCAGAATGCAGCAGATGTTTGGAGTTTGCCCCCGAGGCTGTGGAAGAGGGGCGGATGCTGGGCTCATCTCCTTGGAGCGACTTTTCAACCTCACACATGATGTGTAGGGTGTGTGTAGCTGTCTGAAGTGGCTACGGTCTGCAGGGCTTGGGGACCAGTGCTAGCAGGGGCCGTTCTGGGAACGGGGTCCGGCACCTGCGGTGATCACCTGCCCTCCCTCAGGGCCGGTAGCTTGTCTCTGGGTCCCTGTGAGCTGGCCCAGGGCGGCTCTCCCCGCCTCCTACACAGGACCGCGCAGCTGCTTTCCGGGCGGCACTGGGGGCGGTAACCACGGCAGCTCCGTGTCCAGGCGCCTGCTGATGCCTGTGTCCGCCCAGCCCCTCTCGGGACGTGCTGTGATGCTAGATGGGGTGGGGGTGCATCGTTCCTGCTGTTGGCTGGGTTCGGTCGACTCTGATGCTTGGTGCCACCACGGGCTGCAGAATGAGCCGTGCCCGGGCCGCTCGTCGTCACGGTTGGTGTGTTCAAGCCCGTTGTGACCGCCCTTTTGAGTGCCTCCAACAGAAGGGGCTCGTCCTCCAACACAGTCGCGCATGGTGCTGTGCTGTGCTCTGAAAGGTGTCATTAGGCCTGTCTCCCAGTCTGTCTCAGTCTGGGCGCCCTGCTGAAGCCTGTCTGCCGGGGGGACCCTGCCAGCGTGGGAATGCCAGTGGCATATCCTTTAGCATCAAAGCAACGTGGAAGCCCCCCCATATGGCAAACTGACAGGCGAGTAGTGCAGATGATGCGCGGACATGTGATTTCATGTGGGTGGCTGCTTATGCATGGGTTTTCTGGTTCTTTCTGTTCATTCCATGTGGTACCAGGTTTCTCTTTCATACCTAACTAAATGGAACTGACCGACTTTGAAGAACACTAGTGACAGGACTTAGAGGACTGGGGGTAGATGAGTGTGGCAGGAGTAGTGAGGGTGGTGCTTGAATGTATGGTAATAGTGGGTGTGTTCGCGTCACCCACATGCTGACTCTAAGGGATAGGGAGTGTTCCTGCCTCTGTTTTGCAGTTGATGAAACTGAGGCTCAGAAGGAAGGTGACTCGCCCAAGGCCACATGGCTGAAGACCGGGAGCCAGGACTCGATCCCTGTTCCTGAGCCTCAGTGCCCCCTGCTCGGCCCCTGGGAAGCCCCGAGGCTCCTCCTGCAGGCTCATCAGTCTGGGTTTGGGACTCCCTCGGCTTTTCAGTGTTTGAAGGATAGATGGTGCTTGAAGGATTGCCTTTTCTGTGACTTCTCCCGTCCCATGTGAGTCTTGGTGGCAAGTGACAGGAAGCCAGCTTGGGCTGGTGGAGGGGAAACACAGGGAAGGGGTGCCTGGCTCCCCTAAATGAAACGATAGGCTTCAGGCACAGCTGTCATCAGGACACCATCAGCTCTGTCTTCCTGTCATTGGCTTCCTTCTCAGGCAGCCTCCTGCCATGTGGTGGCTTCCGAGAGCACCAGGCTTTCCTTCTGGTAAATCTGATGCCTTGACCCCCCAACGGAGTGGCCTCTCTTCCTCCTTCTTCCAGCAGAAGTCTCAAGCTTGACTCTCAGGCTCAGATTAGGTCACACGCCCGTCCCTGAACTGATGATTGTCTTGTGGGTGATGCAGGAATCTGATTGGCCAGCCTGGATCACATGGCCTTTCCTGGAGCCTTGGTTACCCAAAGGAAAGTCAGGTGGGGGTAGGCAGGCACAGAGCCCCCAGACACCCCTGACCTTAGCCTCTTCTCCCAACGCTTCTCTGCGTTAGATAGCCTGGGGCAGGTTCCCAGTGGAGGCCTGTAGGTACCCAGTCTGGAGAAGCAGGTAGCACCCAGCTTGGGGCAGCAGGATAAGGCTCGTCCTGATGAAATTGCGGTGGGGCCGGAGGTACCTTCTGTCTGCCCCGCCTGCCCGTACCGCTGATCGGACGGGGACCTCGGGGCACTGGCCTGCCCGTACCGCTGATCGGACGGGGACCTCGGGGCACTGGCCTATGCACCATTTTGGAATCTCCTCTGCTCGGGTGTGGGCGAGGGATGGGCTCCATGCGGCGTGTGGAGGTGGCATGTGTAGGACAGAGGGGTACATGGGACCTTCACTCCGGGGATGGCTGGAGGAGGCAGTCGTGACACGGCCAGGCGGGGTAGGGCAGTGGCTGGCAACGGGGAGCAGGGTTCTGAGAGGGTGGGGTTACTGGGGCCTTCCTGGGCAGGGTCTGGCGTTCCCCGGGCTCAGGGCTGGGACTGGAGCCTTCCTGTGTCTCACTTTCCCCTTCGGGAACGCCGACCTTGGGCCTTTCTTGAGGTCTTTTCCAGGAGGCACGTGGCTGGTCCTACCAGCCCAGGATGGCGGGCCCACGGGCCTCTGTGTCCTCGATGTCTCCCTGGCGTGGCCCTCAGCTTCCCATCCCCTCCGTCCCGCTCACGTCTGCGCTGTCCCACGTCACAGCGTGGGGAAGCAGAAGGCCTGGCCTCGCCCAGGGTCCCCCCACCCGCCTGCGCTTGTCCTGTTCACCAGTTACCGGGAGCACTCGTGTGCCCCTCCCTTGCTGGTCATGCCTCTCCGGACAGGCCCGGTGGCTGGGTCCCTGTCCAGTGGCTGCCCAGAGCTTCCAGGGAACTTTATCTCAGTGACTGGAAATCCCCAGGAGTTGTGGAGTGGTACTGGGGGCTGAGCGGGGATTGAGGGACACTGGGTGTGGGGGAGCTCTGGTGGCGCAGTGCCTAAGGCATTTGACTGCTAGCCAGAGAGTTGGCGGTTCAAACCCATCAGCCACTCCATGGAAGGCAAAGATTTACTGCCTTGGAGACCAGTGGGGGTCACTATGAGTCAGAATAGACTCTGGCAGTGCGTTTGGTTTTTTTTTTTTTTGGTTTTGGTTTGTTTGGGCGTGGTGAGGGCCATGCTCACGGAGGTTGGGGTTCCGTGGAGTGAGGCTGGGTGGGTGAGCAGTCACTGGGGATGCCAGGCTTGGTGAGGACTGTGCCCCGTGGCGGACTGAGGCAGGTGGGGCAGGGGTACCCTGAGGAACCCTGCTGACCTCAACACTCTCTCCCGGTTTTCTCACAGGTGCCTGTGACGGCGGCTGTGAGCAGATCATGACGGCTGACCTTTAACCCCTGGTGGCAGCTGCAGGAGAGCCCCCAGACGCCCCCACCATGTCGGGGTCCACGCAGCCTGTGGCACAGACGTGGAGGGCCACTGAGGCCCGGTACCCGCCCCATGGCATCTCCTACCCTGTGCAGATTGCCCGGCCCCACACGGTAAGGGGACTTGGCGGGGCTACCTATGCCCGACTCTCCTCCTCCCCTGGGAGCCCGGCTGCTGTGGGCTGGTCCGGCGGAGGCCCCCGGCCCTTAGGACCTTTCCCAAGCCCAGGACATCTGGTCAAGTCGCACTGTGGAGCTGGGGTGGTGGTGGCCGGGGCCAGCCACGCTGAGATCTCTGTCACTGTCAGTTCCGGGGCACCGTGCTTTCTCATGATCACCAGTGGAACTGTCGTGTGAATGTGGAGTGCCTGCTGCGTGCACGTGCTTTGCAGCCCAGCTTCATCTCAGCTCCCCCTTACTTTGGAACTTGGGGGCTTCTAGGAGACCTTTGTTGGTAGTAGCCCCACTGCCGCCTCTGCCCTGACAGTTGTGGCCTGTGGCTCCCAGTCATCGAGACCCAGTGTGTGCCAGGTCCCTGAATCCCAGCTCTGGGGTGTCAGGGTGGTGGTTCGGCTCGGGGGGGGCGGTGTGGGGACAAGACCTGCCCAGGTGGGGGCATGTGCCCCCCCGGCTCTGCCCTTCTGAGCCACACCCCGCTCCATGCGATCAGCTCTGAACCAGGCCCATTTCCTGTCTGCAGTCCTTGACCCATGATGGGAAGCTAGGGAGAGGCTTGCGTGTCTTGGGTTCCACCCTATTGGCATGTACCATAGAAAGCTCAGAATATTTCTGGAGAAAACTCTATGCAAAGCGTGTTTTTGTTCATGCACTCGTTCATTCAGTCAACCAGTCTTATTCACTGTGCTGGGGGGACCACAGACAGACAGACAGACACACGCACACATCACAGTCTGGGAAACCCTAGGGGCAGTTCTACTCTTTCGTTGAGTTGCTTTGAGTAGGAGGCAACTCGATGGCACCTAAGCCAGCACTGTTCATGGTCACCCTGGGAGGTGGCCAGAGGTCTCTGAGGTCTGGGAGTCCCCCCATGTGCTCCGTGAGGAGACAGGCGGGGCCTGAGGGAAAGCCCGCTGAGGGGGGCTGGCTCTGCCGACCTCTCTGTGTGTGCGGTCCCTGCTGGGAGGCACAGAGAGGAAGTGGTGTGGGAGGGTGTTTCCGTAAGGGAGTGGGATGCTTTGCATGTGAACTCACTGGCCTGGTGTGACGGAGTGCCAGGATCCAGGCCTCCTGAGAACAGGGCCCCTTCTCTGGCCCCCTGTGCTATGGGGTCCCTGTGCCACAGCACCCAGGAGGCTCCTGTAGCCCTGCCCTCCTGCCTGTCTCATCCTTTGTCCAAGCTGGGCGGCCTCCTAGGCATTAGGGTCGCCAGCTGACCTCCTGCTGTCCCTCTGCTGGGTGTCACTGAGTGGCACCCAGTGGTCATCACCAGCCCAGGAGGGGGGCTGAGGGCAGGGGCTGTGGCTGGTGGGCCCAGGCCCGGGCAGCCGTGGCAGGGTGCGTCTCTGCCTGCCTTCTCCCTCCTTCTTGGCAGTTGCAGATGCCATCTGGCCAAGGCCTCTCCCAGGGGATGGGCCGATCGGCCCCTCTGCTCATTTTGCTTTAGTGCAAGGGAGCAGAGTGAGAGCACGTTCTTCCTGGTGCCCGACAGGTGTGCTGGCCTCTCCTTACGCTGCTGCGTGGGTGCGTGTGTCTGTGTGTGCACCTGTGCGTGAGTGTGGGATCTCTGCCTGGCACCCTGCAGGACATGGTGAGCTCTCCTCATGTCTCTGAGTGGGTGTCTGTACGTGTGTGCTCTTGTGAGTCTGCATGTGTGTGTCTGAGCACACGTGTGTGTGCAGCAGATCAGTGCGTCTGTATGTGTATGTGTGTCTGTACATGCATATGTGTCCCTGTGTGTCTTTGTGCATGTGTGTGTATCACACACGTGTGTGTCTTTGGATGCAGGTGCAGTCTCTGCCTGGCAGCCTGCGAGGCGTGCTGAGCACTCCTCACACCTCTACATGTCTGACTTGTGTCTGTGTTTGTTTGTGACGTCTTGCAAAAGAAAAGACTCCGCACACGTGTCCCAGTTGGACGCCTTTGAAACCCCTACTTGGCCTTGTGGGCTGATGGCCTTTGGTCCCCTGGCCTCCCTCCCCTGATGGGTGTGGGCTGGGTTCTCACACATGGAAGGTCCGCTCACACGCCCGTGGCCCTCTGATAGGTGTTCAGGCTGTGCCTCTTTCTCGGTTTTCCCTGCTGACGTGGTTCTGCTTTTGCAAGTATCACCACCCCCTGCAGTTGTTCTGGGCTCTGTGCCATGCCCCTCTCTGGCTTGATCTCTGGCCCGGAGGGACCCTCACTCCTCTGGCTCCCTGCCCAGGCAGTGGCGCTGGGGGCAGTGGGGGTGAGGACGGGTCTCCTGCTGAGCCCGGTCTCTCATCAGAAGTGTGTGGTGCCCACTGAACGGGCTCTGCAGGCGGCTGGGCCTGGCCTTCACCAGCCTCGTGGCCTTGGGTGGGCAGCGTGCGCTCTCCCAGGCTCGGGTGACCCATCCAGAAAGTGGACATGATGGCACGGAGCTGTGGGTGTCCGTGAGATGCTCAGTCCCCACCGGCCACCTGCCTTCCCTCTCCTCTGCCTCGAGGCGGCCTCAGATGTCCTTGCTCATGGGCTCCCCTGATACCAGCCCCTCCAGGCTGTCTGTGCTTTTTCTGGGAGCCTGCAATACCTGCCACGTGCTGCTTTGGGCAGGAAGATGTGCTCTTTGTGTCGCCAGTTTCTCTCTTGAGCGCCCCATGGCTCGGTTTCCCCTCGAAAGAGGAGCTGGCAGCTGTACCTGCCATGTTGAGAGGTGGTGAGCATTGACTGAGTCAGTGTGTGACACCCTGGGAGCAGTGCCTGGTGTTGGGGGTGCCGTGTAAGTGTGCTAGTGATCACTCACAGAGGTCCACACGTGGCTGAGGACCGAGAGCCCCGGGCACATTTGTCAAGTGTGCTGTGAGAAACCTAACACTCGCCTGCCGTGTCCCCCACTGATGCCCATTTTGCAGCTGAGAAAACTAGGGCTCTGGGAGGCTGAGTGGCTTGTCGGAGCGCACACAGTCAGGATCTGGTGCAGCTGGGTCCAGCTGAGATGGTGGCTCCTACTTGGCCGCAGGTGGTGTGGGGGTGACCTCGGGCAGATGCTCACGTGTCCTGTCCTCTCCTTTCAGGATGTCGGGCTGCTGGACTATCAGCACCACCCCCGAGACTACGCCTCCCACCTGTCGCCTGGCTCCATCATCCAGCCCCAGCGCAGGAGGCCCTCCCTGCTGTCTGAGTTCCAGCCTGGGGGCGAGAGGTGAGAGGGCCCGGGTGCCGCCACTGCCGCCGTGTGCTGGCCACTGGCCTGCTGTGGCCTCCACACAGGGCCTGGCTGCGGAGAGCCATCTGACCCTTAGATGGATACCTTTGACCTTTGCTGGTCTCTGCAAGTGTCATTAAGACATGACGAGGATGGGTGGCTGGCTGGCTGGAAAGAGTATCAGTCAGGGTTCTCCAGAGAAACAACCAGTAGACTACACACATACACACATGTACGTATATGTGTACATGTCTATCTGTGGATATCCATGTGCATACATATGTGTATGGATGTGTATGTACATAAATGAATGTGTGTACATATATGAATGTGTATATAGATGCGTACCTATATATGTTTATGTTTACATGTTTGTGTATATGTATGAATGTGTATACATGCACATATGTATGCATATGGTTACACGTGTACGCATGTGGACCATTGTGTATGTATATATATATATATGTACATGTAAGGGTGCATGTATATGTGCAGATGTGTGCAGGTATATATGTACGTACACGTGTATAGATGTGTGGGTGTGTATGTATGGAGGTGTATGTTTATGGATGTGTGTCTATATAGGTATGTGTGTACCTGTACACATACGGAGTGTATATATATATATATGAGTGTGTATATGTATGTGTATATACATGTGTGTGGATAAGTGTATATGTACTTTTATATATACACATGGATGTATATTATAATACGTATATAATATACATATTAGATGTGTGTGGATATCTATATACTTGTATCTGTGTGCACATATATGTATGCATATACACGTGTGTATGTATACATGCATGTGTCCAATGTATCTGTGGGTATATCCACACCTGTGTACATATGCACATGTATGTGTGTATGTGTGTGATTATGTGTACGTTTAGATACATGTATACCAAAGAACCAAACCTACTGCCATTGATTTGGTTCTGACTCATAGTGACCCCTGTTGGGTTTCCAAGGCTGTCAATTCTTTACAAGAGTAGATTGCATCTTCCTCCTGCGGAGCGGCTGGTGGGTTTGAACTGCTGACTTTCTGGTCGGCAGCCAAATGCCTTACACACCGTGCCATCAGAGCTCCTTCTATGTACGTATAGGGCGTTGTGTGCGTGTGTATGTATGGATGGATGGATGGATGGTGTATGTGAAGTTGGATGTGTATGTATGTGTGCGTATAGACAGATGGCTGGCATGGCCAGGATAGGCCTGGCAGAGGAGAGATGCTTGGTGGCCTGCCACTGGGAGAGTGGGGAAAGGCATTTAAGGCAGAGGCCCTGAGTTGGGAGCGGGCGAGGATTGTGCACATGAATCCCTGGGATCTTGCTAAAATGCAGTCAGGCTCTGTGGCTCGTGGGTGGCCCTGAGGTTTGTGGTCTCTAAGCGACTGCAGCTGGGACTGACACTGCTGGTCCTATGGGTGGAGAATCCCTGAGGGGTGCCCAGGTACCAGCCCCAGTGAGCATTCTTCCTGTAAACGTGTTGGTGAGCGCTGGCTTGCAGGGCAGCATGGCTTAGAGTCCTGCCTTACCGTGGCCGTGGATGGAGGGCCTGTCTTGCTGTGGCCGCGGCCGTGGATGGAGGGCCTGCCTCGTTGCAGCCGTGGATGGAGGGCCTGCCTTGCTGTGGCCACGGCCGTGGATGCAGGGCCTGCCTCGTTGCGGCCGTGGATGGAGGGCCTGCGTCGCCGTGGCTGTGGCTGTGGATGGAGGGCCTGTCTTGCCGTGGCTGTGGCTGTGGATGGAGGGCCTGTCTTGGCGTGGCTGTGGCTGTGGATGGAGGTCCTGTCTTGGCGTGGCTGTGGCTGTGGATGGAGG